AGACTTTATACTATTCCCTCGTAATCTCTTGGTAATCAGAGAGGCAGGAGTCAGATCCAAAGTCCTGCATAATTTAGTTGAAAATTAAATTTTCTTGTATTGCTAGTGTGTTTGAATGCTTGCTTGATGAATATTTTAATTTTATTTTTTGGTTTGATTTTTCTGTTCTTGTTATTTGACTGTAAAATTGGAACTTCCAAAAAAGCATAAAATGGGGCCTGTCCGGGAGTCGAACCCGGGACCTCTCGCACCCTAAGCGAGAATCATGCCACTAGACCAACAGGCCATTCTTGATAACTTGACTTCTTTTTAGCTAATGACTACTAGTCTCAACATTAAATTTCAACCTGATCGTTTGAGTACCTGTACGGTGTCTCTGAAAAATGTATCTGAAACTAACTCGTGATTTCAAGTTTTATTTCCAAATAGCTGTTCATTTTCTTCGCTAACTTCTTGTACTATCTGTTGAGAACACTTTGATAAACGTGAATTTTTGTCGTTTTCTTTAGTTAAAGGTAGCACAGATTTATCCTGGCTCTCGTCTACAGCTTAGTGAAAGTTTAGCTAATTATTCATGCTGGTTTTCCGGGCAGGGAGATTAGCTCAATTTGTAGAGCGCCCGCTTTACATTCGGGTGGGTACTGGAATCGATACCCAGATTCTCCATTTTTTTTTTTTAACTGAACGTGTTTGCAGCAATGTGTAATCATACCGATCTGTCATGTCTTGCACTTTATCCGCTAAAACAGCGGACTTATTGCTTTTAATTAGCAACGCATTTTTTTTTCAAAAATTAAACTGAGGCTATGTACCCTACATCATAGAAACCGTGAGAAAAATCTTAATCCTTATGACTTCTTGCTTTTTTAAAGTCAGGGCTATTCGTAAAATACGACGTTTTAACCGCGAACACGGGACTGTTAAAAACGTGCTTAAAATAAGTTAGCATTTACGTACAAAAAGAAATTGTTGTCAATTTAGAGGATCCGGGTATCGATCCCGGTATCTCCCGCATGCTAAGCGGGCGCTCTACCATTTGAGCTAATCCCCCTGCCCCGTTCAGAGTACAAGATGTTTATTCATATGATAAAGTAAAATAAAGGATTCAAATTGCCATATAAAGGATACAAGTTACAAAAAAAAAAAATTAAATTCATCGATGAAATAGTTTATCAAATGAAATGAAAAATTAAAATGTTGAAGTTTTTCGAAGCCTAAAAGCCATAAGCACATAATAATTCAATTATGTCAAAGGAGCTGTGTCATGAAATTTATCATAATTTCAGGAACCTTCACCAACTTTTTTGGGGGACAAATTAAGTGAAATATAAAAATAACAGTTTGGTGCAAAGCTGTGACTTTGTCACTTTTATTAGAAGTAATTCTAGTAGTCAAGTAATCAAGTTTCATAGCGAGTACCGTAACTGTAAATTGATCTTACCTTTCTATTTTGATCACAGGAACAAAAATGTCTTTTTCGCACAAGCTCAAATGATTTACATAATAAAAGATAAGTTATATAATGCTATAAACCACACCAGACCGAACCAACTGTAAGAAAGAGAGGATATCCTCTCTTGCTTTACGTTAAAAGCTGCCTTGTGTTAGAAATGAAAATTTTATGGAGTGTGTTGAAACATTACAAAAACAAACATGAAAACAGACTTAGCAATGACGTGGTTTCTCTAAAGAGACGACAGCGAACTGCTTTGTGCAAGTTAGAAATCTGTCGCCACTACGAGAATGAGAAAAGCAAATGGCCGATTTATTAGCTTATAGCGACTTATAATTGCCGAAAAAAAGGATAAAAAGGGGCCTGTCCGGGAGTCGAACCCGGGGCCTCTCGCACCCAAAGCGAGAATCATGCCACTAGACCAACAGGTCATTCTTGAATAAGGGCCTACTTTTAAGTCATTCACTACTAAATTCAACACAATTTAGTCCACCTGTTCCCTCAGGTTCCTGTTTGCAAGGTGTGGCTAAGACTATACGTCAGGGTTAAGCTGTGATTTCTGAGCCACCTGCTATAACAGCCAAATTGTAATGGAGCTCCACGCGCGCGTGAGCGGAGCCCTACAGCTAAGATAATATGAATATCTATCCATCAAGGAAATTTTATAGTCACGTGACCGCCCGTCCGTCCGTCCGCACCACAGGGAAACCAATGTGAACTGTCACATTTTCTAGCTGGTGGGGGAGCCTGCAACCTGATATTGCACATCCATGTTGTGGTCAATTGACAGCTGTCAAAACAAGTCTTGTACTCTAGCCCCTAATAGTGGCATCGTCCACACCAAGAGAGAATAGATCATTTTTTCTTGTCCACACTAATTCGATTTCAAAAGTATGCGTTTTCGTTTTCATCCAAACTACATCGATCGATTCGCGTCTACACTACCGTTTTGGTGCGTTTTCGACTGTCCGCACTGAAACGTTCGAAAATAAAAGACCACGTTGTGACGTATGTTGACCTCTATGTGCATGCTGCAAACACACGCGCCTATGATATTTTCGGACATCGTTTTCATTTTGAAGCGTTTTCGAACGTTTTCGACCGTCCACACTAATAGGATGTGCGATGTATGCGTTTCATTCTGATGAAACTTTAAGAACGTTTTCAAATCGATGAGTAATGATGAAAACGCTCAGGGTATCAGTGTGGACCAAGAGATAATAATCTATTATTCTCTCTTGTAATCATCGTAATTTAACCTCACTGCATACCTATTACCACATCACGGTAAACTAAGTTATGGGAGGAGACCGCGACAACTGTGGCAACTAAAGTATGCAGCGGGAGTTAAGCTTAGCCACGTCGACCGGCACCAGGGGAGGAGGGTGGGGCGACAGAAGCTTCCTTCACCGGAACGCGGGCAAAATGACAACGATCGAGGCAAAACACGAGAATTTAAGCAAAGAGACCGCAAAGCATCATACCTGCCCCGAAGACGCAGAGCACGGCGGAATTCGAAGGATATAGCTCAAATTACGCGATGCGCTAATTATGTATGCAGTGAGAATAGTAATTTATCCTCACTGCATACCTATTGCCACATCACGGTAAACTAAGTTATGGGAGGAGACCGCTCCAACCCTTGCAACCACGCTACAGCTGCCCGACTGACCCTAAAAAGCACCCCGAAGCATACAAAACCACACAACAAAAGGTACAGAACACAATTTTAATCCAACCTCTCCCATTACTCAGAAATCCCCTTCAACCCTGATAGGAGGACTAGGGGTAACAATAACAGATGAAAGTGAAAATCATTCAATTGATACAAACAGGTTGCACATTGTCGGGGTGAGACACAGGCACTGTGACCAAACCAGCAGCACTAGGAAGGACTTCCTCGAAGATCGTGAGAGACGCCGCCGCATCAGACGAACGGGAGTAATGTTGAGCCATCTCCCACTCTTCCAACCTATATACTGTGCAACCTGCTGTTGAGAACAACCTAGCAATCTCAAAGTAGTAGACAAACCCACCTGTAAACTATGAGGGGTTTCACCGTCATGAAGCTTAGCTTCGGTGAGATACCCCCGAAGAAGGTTATTAACAGCCGAGCCGACGAAAGGCCTGGGACTAATATCTCTACTGCGGTCAGAAGCCCGAAAGAAAAAACCCGGAGCTAAGCGGACCTTAAGTAAATCACACACAGAGAGATAATAAGTTATCCAATTAACCGGGCACACGTCTGTTTTGCAAAGGGGAACCAAGGCGAAAGAACGAGAGGGGTCTTTACACAAAGTTTTAGGAAAGGTAAAACGCAACAAGTAACCCTCACGATCTTTTAATTTAAAAACCTGGCTGGCTAATAGGCGACCAAAATCCGATGCCCTGTCGCCTGTAAAGAAATCTATTACAAGAAAGGTAGCATCCCTAGCCAAAATATACTGATTAATTCTAGACAATGATTGACTATCAACAATTTTTCCCCGTAAATGAGCAATTAAATTCTGGAACTTAACAAAGAACAATGGCACAGCTTCCGAAAGCGAAATAGCCATACCCGCCTGTTCGACGCGAACAAAGTTCAAGTATTCCTTGATGCAAGGATGCGCGATAGGATTAGTGTGGTCGATGCGACCAAGTTTATTATAAAGATGGACCTGAGCTTTCCAAGCAGGGAGTCAACGGTGCCAGCGGCTAAACGGCGGGGGCAGGCGCAAGCTTCTCCGGAACATGTGGGGACATGAACCACTGCTCGCCCCGACGAATCTTTATAAATGAGAAACTTAATAACGTCATCTACCGTACAAGATGAAATTGTTTTAGGCGGAGAAACTGACGCGAGAAACGTAGATAACTGCTGCTCAAGGGCTGACTTTTGACGTTGATAGGGCCGACGCTCAAACGAAGACCTAAACTCTTGAAAACGCTCTTGAATAACCTTCTCATCCACAGGACCCCTGCCACGGGGAACAGCTGGCACCAAGGGCGCAGTGGGAACCCCACACGCTTGACAGAAATTGGCATCTGCGTCATTCGGATACAAGCACGAACCACAAAGACGGGCTGGTTTCCAAGGTCGCGGAATCTAGCAGAAGACCATAAACGGCAAAAAATTAGAAAATACAGCGATAAGCCCACAAGTCCCACTGAAGACGTCGCGCCGACCAGACATGCGTGGAGCGAGAGGGAAAAAGCAACACAGCATCGCCGCCCTTCCTGCTAAGCAAAAGGCGATCGTCTGTGACAGACTGAAGGAGAGCCCACCAAACCGCCTGAGACGCAAATCTGGGACCACCAGGGTAAGGGCTCCATGGAATCCTTGATCCAAAAAATACCTCAATAGCGGACGACCGAGTAAAACGAAAGGCGGAAAAGCGTAAATGTTATACTCCAATGGGATGTGCTGCGCAAAGGCGTTAACCCCCTCAGAGGCCGGAGTAGGCCAAGGAGAATAATGAGGAAGCATTAGACAAGAACGACCCCTTCGACAGTTACTGTCTAACGCCATAAGATCGAAAGAGTGAAGACCGAATCTGCGCTTCCCTTAATTCCAGGCCTGTTCTGACAACATACAGTCAAGGTCCGAACACGCTCGAGAAGGTGCGTCTGCCATATTGTCGCGGGAAGGAACATAATGGACATCAATAGCCAAGTTTAACGGACGGCTACACTCCAAGATTTCCTTGACAGAATCGTTATCAGATGAATTCTTGCAGCCAAAATTGTCCAAGACGGCCTTGAGGGTTCGATTATCAGTATGAATATCAACCCTAGAATTACGTACATGATCTCGGAAAGCGAAGAGTGAGCGTACTAAAGCCTTAGCCTCGAGAGAGTTATTATCATAGGAAGCATCTATCCAATAGTCTCTGGACTCGATCCTTCTCCCGTCCTTAAAAAGAACTCCACCCCACGAGCGTTTAGAGGCATCACAGAACAGGGAGACTATACAATGTTGCTCCGACCTCCAAGGCAAGCAATCTGACCAATCGTCTAAAAAGCGCCTTTATGCGACATCAAAGCGGAGTCTTCCTTGGACTTTAGCAGCAGCCTTGGAAGAACGCGTAAGCTGGGCTATTACGTTAAAGACTTCGCGGACGTAAAGCTTGCCACCAGGCAAAAGAAACGAAGCGTTGCAGCGTTTTAAGACTGACACAGGAGGATGACAAAATACTTTCCCGCAAGTTCGCGAACTTCGTCTGTTTATTCTGGGGAATAAGAAACGCCTGGCGAGTAGAATCGCATAAAAACCCAAAAAACAGACCACCGTAGAAGGAACGTACTGCGACTTGTTAGTATTAATGAAATAGCCAGCTTCGATTAGAATGTAACACACAATGTAAGCTGCAGCTTCAGCTCTCTGAGTGCTTGGAAGAATGACGGAACGCATCGGAGAGGCAAAAAGCTGTCCCACATGACGGGGGTCAATATACTGTGACAGGGGAACCCCAAGGGAGCGAGCGGCATGCGAGACGACTAGACCTAAGTTATGATAAATATAGACGCTGGCCTTCCAACCAAAGGGGAGCGTACGAAACACAAAAAAGAAATTATCCCACTCGAGCCCAAAGTACTTCTCAGACGACGGATGCAGCCGAACATGCTGGTAGCCACTCTTGTCATCAAAGGTCGTCTGGAAATGCCCAGGCAAAACATACCGGGGCAAATCAGCCAGGTGATCTAATTTAAATGGAAGATCCCTAATCCATAAATTTAAAAACCTTTCGTCGTGGCAGAGACGAGGCTTGGACGGCTCAATGGTAATTGGAAGGACCAAATGAGGCGGAGACACGACTCCAACTTCTCCCCAAACGGACAAAACCCCTGATGCGCAAATAGCAGCGTTCTTAATCTGAATGGAAGGAGTGGTCTGCGTATGGTAGAACTGCCCCTTAAAATCCCCCCTAAATGGGGTGAAAAAGTGCTCCACACCAACACCATCCCGGAGGATCTCGAGAAGATCCACTGCACAGTAACAATCGGCCAGAAGACGCTGCCAAACAGGGAAACTTTCGTGAATCATACCAGCTTTGACCCGGGTCACGGAAGCGAAGGCTGGTCAAAACACCTAATTCCGGGCGAGAGGAAACCATCTCCGGAGAGGCCAGGGGGCCAACGAAGGGCTAGGTTCCCTGTGCCAAAGAGCGAAGAAGGACAGGTCCGCGAAATCGAAACTGTAAATACGAGTCCCGAGCCTCCAAGATCCGCGAGGCGAAACGAGAATGACGCGCCTGAAAAAGGGAGCAAAGGGAAAACCGTAAAGCTAGGCGGAGACAAACAGGGAAACCAACCCCTCGTTGTCCCCAGAATCCGAACCAGGTCCAGAACAGAGACACATAGGAGGTCCCCCAGGGTCAACGACAAGAAGGGCTTTTTTTTTTTCCAAAAAAAAAAAAGACATGGACAAAGATGAACACAAGCAGAATGTTTTATTTAACAGCGAAAAATAAAACAAAAAGGAAAGTACAAGTCAACAAAATCTTGTAAATCAAACATCAAGCGAGTATATCCGCGAGTGTTTGCTCGCCCTCCATAACTAAGGGCTCCACGTCCCCCGTCCGTACTGCGCCTGAGTGGCCCTACAGGTGCCCGAACGGTATTCCAAGCCTTGGACGTATAGGGCCAACGTGCGACTGACCAAACGTCTTGGAAGCAGAGTTTAGTATGGAAGCAGCTTCTTTAGCGACCTTTGCTATAACGGGGTCCCCCAACAGCCCGAGCAATAAACGCTGCAACTCGGGGGAACTGAGAGAGTCCCATCTCGCACGTACCTCGTCAAGGGCCGCGGCATATTCTTCAGCCTTCTGGTGTGCTTGGGTACGCGCGAGGCGCACTAAAACTTGTAAAATGTCCAACACTTCGAAACGGTCAAAAGCGCTATTAGGACGGTTAAGGTATCTTCTAAGGTTAACCAAAGTACCCTCGGTAGTTTCCAAAGTTTTCTCCTGCTCAAGGGCTCGGACCTTTCTTTCTAACTCAACCAAACGAACATCAGCCTGACAGACGAGAGAAAAAATTAAAAAAATAAAGGTAAACGAAACGAAAACAACAAACACGACCGCAAAAGGGAACACATAGAAGCCGATTAAATGTCCAAAAGGAACAGAAAGCACGCAAAACAAAAACGAAAGTAGACCAACCAAAGTCGTAAAGAAAAAACATTCCCAAATCAGCACGACTAAGACACTTCGCTACAAAGCGGTATCCCTCAAATATGCATATAAAATGAAAAACTACGAGCAAAAGGGAAAATACATAACCATACGGTATGATAACGATCTAACGTTCCTGTCTCCCTTGTTGATCTCATTTACCTTACACTTAGCTCCGCTTCTCTCAATCTTTTTTTTTTTTTTTTTTTTTTTTGCATGTTTCCTTACTGCCGGAAAACACATAACCCCAAAGTCGTACAACATGAAGCTACATGTTCTCGCATACAACGCGAAACAATCAGAACAGGAATGCGTGAAATAGATAAATAAACAAATAATGACCACTAATATAATTTCCTCGCCTAAAAGCGGTATCTCATTATGACAAAACAGAAACTTCAATTATGCAAAGGTAATATACACACATCCGCTAACAGTACTCCTCGCTAAGAAGCGGTACCTCCTAACAAAAAACATTGAGCAGGCTTCGCCTTAAAGCGGTATCCCTTCGCACGAAAAGCGGAAACTCCCAATATGCCCAAAAATAAATTATGTACAATCACTAACACAACTTCGTTGCTATAAGCGGTATCTCCTCGCCTAGAAATATCGACCAACGTTCCTCGCAATATAAAGCCGTATCTCCTCGTTTGTGAAGCGAAAAACCCTCCAATCGCAAAAATATACACACATCTTACCACCACCATTTCTCGCTATGGAAAAGCGGTATCTCCTCGCTAACAAAGCGGAAACCTCAAGCACGCACTTTCCTTTTCCTTCCCAAACTTAATAGATATAATATGTTTATAATTTTGTTTGTTTAACGAGCGAGCACAGGCAAGACAAACAAAGGTCCTATAATTTATGCTCTAAGGTGTAAACTTCTTGCAATAAAGGGTGAAAAAATATGCATTGATGAACTAACACCTTAGCAAGCCACTGAAAGCGGTAACTAACAAAACAATAAAAGGAAAACTTCTTACGCTACAAATTAAACAGCAAACTCTTGCCGCGAAGCGAAAACCCTAAGCACACGTCAAAGCGTGACATAAGACTAATCTCCCGCGCCATAGGGCGGAAAAACCTCGCTTACAAAGCGGCAAAAACGCTAGCATATGGAATAATAACACCCGAGTAAACACGTGGCAACCAGCAAGCAAAACGGAGGACTACATTCGGAAGTATAGAAAAATACCTAACAGAAAAATACGTAAACGCGTGGCAAAGAAACGAGTGGCTCGCAGGGCTCGGCTGACCGAAACAAAAGAAAAGCAACAAATACCTCAGGCTCAACCACTGGTGGCGGAGTAGCTTCAACAGCGCCAGCTGGCTCTTCAACAGCCTGGTCAGGAACAGGAGCAGGCGGAGCAGGAAGGGCAGCCATGACATGAAAGGCTGGTGCTGGTAGATTGCAGCGACAGAAGCTTCCTTCACCGGAACGCGGGCAAAATGACAACGATCGAGGCAAAACACGAGAATTTAAGCAAAGAGACCGCAAAGCATCATACCTGCCCCGAAGACGCAGAGCATGGCGGAATCCGAAGGATATAGCTCAAATTACGTGATGCGCTAGTTATGTATGCAGTGACAATAGAAATGTATGCCTTTTACCATGAACAAAATATTTACATGCACTTGTGATTTCTTAATTATTCTTTTAAGATGGCGCTTTATAGTATTTTTTAATAAACCTCGCTAAATAGCTTAAGTTACAGAAGAATACCAACGGTCTCAGACAAAAATTGTTGGGCTACTTCCATCCTCGTCCTCCCAATGTTGGTTATCGCATTTAGCTCACCAAATCTGGCACACCAAAATTGGGAGGGCAAGAAAATAGCAAATCGTCTCAACAATTTTGATTGAGACTGTACCGGTTACTTAGTCTTTTTGTATTTGTTCAAGAGATTCACTACTATGGGTACCCATATAAGAAGGCTCATTTATCAAGTTTCATTTTCTGGATAGTTGCCTGTTCATGGCATCCATGAACAAGGCTGTAATTTTGTCATATTTGGTCATTCCCAATTTTTCTTGGTGAAATGATTCAATTTCGGCCATATTATGAGAAACGATGTTGATAAATATTTCCAAGTGGAAAACACGTGGAGTCGTTAAGACAGTATTGGCAACTGCGACATTGCTTCCTTCAAGGGAAATGTACTTACTTTTTCGTTGTCTTTGTAAAGTTTCCTTTCACCATTTACTAAGACTATTTTAAGATTGCTTACTTTTGAAGCAAATAATCGCGTTTCTGCTTTGTCTATGATGCGATTCACGCTTATGGGGATCGATAGTTCAAGATAAATGACTGGTAACTCGTATAACATTGTCTTGGCCTGTCATAAATGTTTTACCTACACTGACCAAACTTCTTGTATTAAAGGCTTCTAGAAAGTTAACAAAGTTTCTTCGAGCAACATTTCTAAACAGAGAAGCCATGCTTTGTTCGTTTTTGCAAGGACGTTGGGCACGATCACTATTCTCTAGGAAGTCACCTTAAGTCAGGACAACTTTTAAAATACTACTTTAACACGGGACAGTTAAAATAATGCCCAAAAACATTAGGGTGTGAAGAGAAGTTGGAGTTTGGCGTACAAAAAAGAGGATATTTGGAGAATCCGGGTATCGATCCCGGTACCTCCCGCATGCTAAGCGGGCGCCCTACCATTTGAGCTAATCCCCCTGCTTTGCATGATAAGGTGTCTTGATTTAACTGGAGAAACATGTGTTAATTTTACTAGACTAAAAAGTCTTACGAAACCCGACAGAACCATAACTAAATTTAACGAGTGATATTTACTAAGTCTTGTTTGACCGAGCTATATGAACGATAAAATTAGCAGTACAATTCAGTCAAATTCACGAATAAAATATTTTATCAAATAATTTGTAACTTCCACTTAAGCTAAGCTTAGAAGCTGAGCTGTAAACCTGAAAGAAATCTATTTAACTTCCAGCAATTCAAATTTTGCCATGTAAACGTCTCAAGGTGGGGTAACCCGCGTAGTTAGTGTCGGATTCGTGCTCGTCATGTGAAATTCGTTGGCTGAACAAATATCTGCCTTTGGCGGAATTGCTTCATTTAAAGTGACAATATAAAGCCACAGAACCAGGATTTTCGAAGCCTTATACTAGGAACAGTTCTGAATTGGGAGTCGACTGACTTTAGGTGAACAAACAGCGGGACGTTTTTACTTTACCCTCATGTCGGTTTGGGTCATCAGAGCGGCATATCTTACCTTATAAAATCCAAAGACTAGTATAAATTAACGGGAAAATTATTATTTGCATGTCTGATTGAAAGCTTGCTTGTTTGATAATTTGTTTTTATGTTATGTTGTGTTGTGATTTGTTGTTATTGTTGTTATATTTTTATGGTTTTCAAAAGAGACCTAAAAAAGGGGCCTGTCCGGGAGTCGAACCCGGGACCTCTCGCACCCAAAGCGAGAATCATGCCACTAGACCAACAGGCCATTCTTAATCTAAAGTCGACTCTTTAGCTAATCAATACTATTGTCAAAAATCTATTTCCACCTGCTCCTTAAAAAGTAGCTGTCTCGTTGCGGCTCAAACTATCCCAGCGTTTAGCTTTGATTTTTGATTTTAGGACTTAACTTATGGACTATAATTCACGATCAATTTCTTGATCATCTTGCTCTATGTAGCTCTATGTCCTGAGAAAAGTATAACATGGTTAAATTATTTATGTTTTGGTCTTTTACCGTAAAATGGCCACTTTTTAACTTATCACTACCAAAGTCAACATTAAATATCAATTTGTTCCTTTGAGTACCTGTACGGTGTCCCTGAGAAATGCGTCTAAAACTAACTCATGATTTTAAGTTTTATTTTTTAAAGAGCTATCTATTTTCTTCGCTAACAGCTTGTACTATCTGCTGAGAGCACTTTGATAAACTTTGATTTTTCTTCGTTTTCTTTAGTTAAAGACAGTACAGATTTATCCTGGCTCTCGTTTATAGTTTAGTGTAATAAAAATCTAAGTTTAATTAATTACAGGGGTATAGAATGGTAAATTCGAGACTTTGCGAGACTGAAAGACGTCCCTGGACGTAAAAACCCCGAGACGTAAAATCACCCGAAAACGAGAGTTCGAGAGCTATCACAAACGCTTCCAAGATTCCGAGATCGGGCCAAACTTTTGCGAGACCCAAGTTTTTCGAGGAACATTTTTTACCGCTAATTATTCACGCTGGTTTTCCGGGCAGGGGGGATTAGCTCAAATGGTAGAGCGCCCGCTTTGCATGCGGGAGATACTGGGATCGATACCCAGATTCTCCATTTTGTTTTCTTTTTAAACTGACTGTGTTGGCAGCAATGTGTATAAGAAAGTAAAAAAATTGTAAAACTGCGAATTTAAAATACCGATCTATCATTTTTACACTTTCGCCACTATGGCAGCGGACTTATTTGCTATTAATTAGCAACCCATTTTTTTTTTTTCAAAAAGTAAACCGAAGCAATGGACCCTACATCATAGAAACCGTGAGAAAAATCTCAGCCCTCATGATTTCTTGTTTATTCCTTTTAAAGTCAGGGCTGTTCGTGAAATACGACGTTTTAACTACTGCTAACACGGTTCTATTCAAACATGCCTACAGTAAGGTAGCGTTTACGTTCAAAAAGAAATAATTGTTAATTTGGAGAATCAGGGTATCGATCCCAGTACCTCCCGCATGCTAAGTAGGCGCTCTACCATTTGAGCTAATCCCCCCTGCTTCATACATGTAGTGCAAGCAGGAGTCGATTACTTACTTAGTAATAGGCTCCTGGTACAAGCTGTTGGGCAGGTCTTAACAACACGACAGCCACAAAAAAGTGATGAATAGACCTTTTTACCGATACGGCGACCATATTGAATTAATTCGATTTAAGATCTCGGTAAATGAAAATTTTAGTACATTGCTCGATTTTGTTTTTTTGGGATTTTTGGCATGAGTGGGTCCTAAATTTTATTTTGGAAGAAAAAGAAAATCAGAAAGTGCTTTTTAACCCTTCTAAAATGAGCCTTTTCTGAGCTAACCAGCCAAGCGTGGACCTCGCGCTAAATCTTTAGAGCTGATTTTCTCTCACTCTATTTTAGACGCAAAAATCAAAATTCTCCGACCTCCAGTCGGGACAGGTTTTAAGCTATCGCTTTGAAACTTTCAGATATGATGGATAATGATATAGACTCAAAAAGAGTGTGAGGAATTTTCCGATTTCCCTTTGTAACTCATATTATGCCAGTTTCTTTGCGTAAATCGCGCTCGAGATTCGACTTTTTAGTTTGAAATGCAATAATTCCGCTAATACGAGACATATGCAAATTTCCTCACACCCTTTTTTAGGTCTTTTATCTGTCAATCAGATGCAATAAAAAGGAAGTGAATATTTAACAACGCGAAAGGGCTGGAGCTTCAGCAGTAAACTCGATACCTCTGAGTTCGAGAGCAAAAAACTTAAGCGCCTTTTGAAATTCGATGAAATAAAATCCTTCATAAGGTAATTTAGTCTTTTAGCTTTAATTTGATTTAAACTTGCCTTTGTAGCGAAAATACTCGCGCGACTAGAATTTTTTTCTGTGGGCACCTCGTTTTCCTTTACCGAGACCTTAAGGAGTATTAAAGGATGCCCAGGGGGCGTGAATAAATTTCGTTTGTATTTTCTTTCGCTTTTCGGGACATTTTTTCTTAAAGTTTTTTTAGAATAAGATTGTGATGGGAAAAAAGATCCTTGTGCCGTGTTTGGATATAATAATGATCGCCTTTTTGCCGAGAAATATACAGTGAGAGACCATATTTCTAATACTAAACTAGAAGAATACGACGTTCTACCTTCCACTAACACGGGACTGTTAAAAACGTGCCTAAAAAAAGTTAGCGTTTACGTACAAAAAGAAATTGTTGTCAATTTGGAGGATCCGGGTATCGATCCCGGTACCTCCCGCATGCTAAGCGGGCGCTCTACCATTTGAGCTAATCCCCCCTGCCACGCTCAGAGTACAAGCTGTTGGGCAAGACTTAACACCACGACAGCCACAAAGCAGTAATGAATAATGTTTATTCATACGAAATATACAGTGAGAGACCATATTTCTAATACTAAACTAGAAAAAGGTGTTTTTCTATTACATCTAAATCTAAATCTCCTGTTGGGAATCAACTTAATAAACTAGTATTCAGTTTCTTAAACATCATTGTGCTCTATGTCCTGAGAATGCGTTTTCTGTAGAAAGATTAACTTAAACATGGTTTGGTATTTTACTGTAAAGGATAACAATGTAATTGATTTTCGATAGTTCAGCGGGATAGTTCATTTGATTTTCCCTTCGATTTTGTTAGTTCAGTTTTGAAACCGATAAGCGTAAGATTAATTCTGGTTTTC